GAAATATAATAGTGTTAAATCTGTCGGGAATCCTCACCACATCCAACAGAACGAGCTGTTAGTTTTAATTCTTTTCTTATAGACACCCATATTTCAGGCCTCAAAAGGAGAGCAGAATTGCACTCTTACAGGGCATGGTTTCTACAGTCCTACATGTTCAATTAACCATGGAATTTCTCTTCCAGAGAAGAGAAGTTGTTTGGCCAATTTGGCCCCCTTTTGACCTACTCCACTTTGTGTGTTTCATCTTATTTTGAAAGGGCAAACATAAGTGCAAATGTCCTAAAAAGGTAACCCATTAACCTTTGTCATATCTCTTTCACTCATCTTAGCCTTATTTCTGGCTTTATGATTGTGTTGCCCAGGAGAACAATCAGAACTGTTGTAGTCAGGGTTTAAATTGGAGAAGCTTCATAACCTCACATTTTTATGGCAGGACATGTTATTTGTCTATAGACAGAAAGTTCTTTTGTCCAGGAAGCAGAATCTTGATTTTACTGAATTCTTAGGAAAATTTGCTGTTGACTCCAGTACTGGATATTAACTGGAAACTGTAACAACGTATTTGCTTGTAGCGTGAATAGCATCGTTTACATACTTTCTCTAATCCTTTGTCTTAGAAATGGGTGGACATGAGAAAATAAATGGTGATTTATATTCTGCATTAACTCTCTTCCTCTTTCATGGAAGTTAACAAGAATATTAGCTGCTGCATAGATCTCTATTTCAGAAATTTCTCAACAACTATTTCAACTCACTCTAACTTTTATTTTCTTGTTTTGAAAGGGCAGGAAGAGTTAATTTGTAGTTCTATTCTTCAAAATGCTGTATTTCCATTTACATAAAGAAATAAAATTTGAGGATGCTTGTCTCTTCTACAGAAACTGACTTTAGTTCTGGAGAGCTCAGTTTAGTGGGCTGTCTTATGTGTAAGGACCAGTACAGGATGGAAATCCCTGTCTCAGTGAGCTTCCAAACCAGCTTTTCACACCTAGTAGCTTGTCTATTATACAAGCTAGAATTTTCTATGACCATCCAATGTTTGGAATCACACTACATAGCACTACATTTTAAATAATAAGTTCTAGAGAAAAAAAGAAGTTCAAAGTTCTTATATAGGAAATGCAAAAGGTAACTAGGTGATATTTGAATATAAAAGTATGTAAATAAAAAATAAATATTAAAATAATGCAAAAAAATTTGAATTCAAACTCCTTGGTGTTGAGCATTAAAATGACGTCTGCTACTCCAGGGCCAGGTAGAAAAAGAGTACTGTGGACCTGTACTAAAACTTTAAAGTTCTCTGCTGAAGTTATTTAAAGAACAAGGGACTGTTCCCTAAGTATATTTTGCGCTGGGGTCAAACCTGTTGTCTCTTCTATGGTTTTGTCAGAACTCATGTTTTTGTGGAATTAAGTTCTGGACATAGTTAAGATCATGCCTCCATTCAGATTAGCAAGGCTTCGTCACCAGAATGAAAGAAGAAATAATTTATACATTATCACGGTGGTTTCGGGGGTAGAAGAAACAGCAAGGTGATCCATATATAGACTTCTACTTTCTTTTAAAGTCCTCTTGTGTTGAATTATACAGCATATCTCTGATTGTGCTGGTTGCTGACTATAAACACTTTCCCTTGTAGGATTGGTCCTGTGATGCTTGTAGCTGTGGCCAGTGGAATGAGCCCATATGCTCAGTGAAAGCAGTCAAAGATTAGTAGTGCAAGGAAAATGTTTCTTTCTAGTAATTTCAAGGGGTTCTACAGCTCTGTGTTCCAGAAAGAGTGAAACTTCATACAAAACTGTGTGTGGAAGAGGGGATTAACTGGCAGCCAAGAAACAAGAAAGCAATTAGAAACAACTCACTGTCATTTCTGTGGACTTTTGGCAGCATTTCAATAATCCAACAAAAGCAGTAAATAACATAGCTGGGTCCGCAATTACTATGCACTATCTAAAGAATTTTGTACCTTTATTGCTGGGGAAAAATGAGACAAAGTTGGAAGATGTTTGAAGCACATACTTTATAGGGAAAGTTTTGATCTATAAGTGTTGTGTTCAAATTGTGCGAGTTTACTCTGCTAAAAAGGATTTTTTAAAGCCTTTTTTTTCTTTTGGAAAGAAGTTGAGGATTTTTCAATATTTGGGGGATTTCTTATCCCTTTTCCCTTCTTAATAAGCCAAACCTTTATACCCAAAGGGTTTTCAAGATCTAACTGTTCGTTATTTTGATTAGGGAGTTAGGGTGACAAGGAAACATTAGGATAAAAAGCCAGTAGAAATTCTATCTGATGAAACATGCATACATATTTTACATATACATGTATGCACGCACGCAGACATCATAATCTGCAGTTTTGGGTACCATGTTATATGCAAGACATAAATGAAGATGGTGAAGGGCCTTGAGGGGATGCCATATGAAGAACAGTTGAGGTCATTTGTCTTTTTCAGCCTGGAGAAAAGACTGAGGGAAGACCTCATTGCAGTCTACAACTTCCTCATGAGGGGAAGAGGCAGGGCAGGTAACAATCCCTTCACTCTGGTGACCAGTGAGAGGAATTGAGGAAATAGCCTGATACAGAGTCAGGGGACATTTGGTTTGAATATCAAGAGTAGATGTTTCATACAGATGGTGGTTCAGCCCTGGAAGAGGCTCCCAGGGGGAACGGTCACAGCACCAAACCTGACAGAGAGTTCAAGAAGCATTTGGACAACTCAGGTTGTCTCATGTGTATGGAGTAATGCTTGAGGGTGTCCTGTGCAGGGCTGGGAGTTGGACTTTGATGATCCTTGTGGGTCCCTTGCAAATCAGGATATTCCATGATTACTTGAATTGATATTGTGTATATATATGTGCTCTATTTCCAGTCAGTGCACTAACAACTGAAAGTAATATTGTGGTATGATTATGAGTTACTTGTCCAAGTTGTAAGCAATTATTTTATCTTTTCCCTCTATCCCGTGTGGGTTTTGAGTCATAAGTTTAGATATCCTTCAATTTTTCCTTTAGTTAGTCCTCCTTCTTTGTGAGTTGTTTGATCCTTTTGTCTAAACTTTCCATCTTAGAGTTTTGTCACTGAGCCTTTAGTTTCACACTTTTATCTCAAAGATAATTACTGAGTCTACAGTCTTAGAAGGAAACAGTCTGTTTGCAGAAAGGTTTTTAAGATGTCTTCTCTTGCCCATGGCTTAACTAGGTCACAGAGATGTGCTTTCATCTATCTTTGGAAGAAGGCTTATCCAGCATGGAGCTTCCTGAAATAGAAATAGGAGTGTATTTAGTGCTCCACTCACCTTCATGGTCTCCACCCAGCATTTCCAAGAATGATGTTATAAATAGAATCAGCATGTCACTGATGATAGAGGGAAAATGTGTCTAGTTTTCCAACCTAACCTTTGCCTGGTTGGTTAGATACTTGCACGCAAACACACACATTCATGTAAGTGCATCCCTCAGGAAGGCTGCAGAGAAAACTGGAGAGGCCAAAGCCCAACTTGAACTTAATCCAGCTACTCCCACAAAAAATAGTCCAAAATGTTTCCATATATACATGCACATAAAAAAGAGGGCCAAGGAGAGTTTTCATTCTTTGTTGGATGTGGGGTGAAACTTAGTGTTGAATGATGAAGAAAAGGCTGAGGTACTTTGTGCCTTCTTTGCTTCAATCTTACATAGGCAGACCAGTTGTTCTCAGGATGCTCAAGCATCTGAGCTGGAAAACAGAGACAAGGAACCAAATAAATGAATCCACCATACTCCAAGGGGAAATAGTCAGCAACCTGCCCCAACAATTAGACCTGCACAAGTCTGTGGGACTGATGGGATCCATCCAAGGGTACCAAGGGAGCTGGTGAAAGTGCTCACTGAGCTACTTTCCATAATTTACTAGCACTCCTGGATGTCTGAGGAGGCCCCAGTTAGCTGGAGGTGGGAAAATATGGCTCCCACCTACAAGAAGGGTTGGAAGGAGGGTTGTGGGTCATCTCATCCTGAGTGCCATCACATAGATTATATAGAACAGTTCAGCAGGGGATCAGGCTCATCCAGCATGGGTTTGTGAAAGGCAAGTTCTACTCCCCCAACAGGAACTCGTTTTATGACTCACTTAGTGGAAGAGGGAAAAGCTATGTATTCTGTTCTCCTGGACTTTAGCAAAGCTTCTCGCACCATTTCCCCACAGCATTCTCCTGGAGAAACAGACAGCTCATGGCTTCATGAGTGCACTGTTTCCTATATAAAAAAATGCCAGGATGCCCTGGTCTGGAGAGTGGTAGTGAATAGTTACATCCAGCTGGCTGATGACACCAGTGATGTTGCCCAGGGGTCAGCACTGGGCCCAGCCCTGTTTAATATCTTTATTGATGAATGTGGGGTTCAAGCATACCCTTGCTAAGTTTGTGGATTACCCCAAGCTGGGTGGGAGTGCTGATCTGCTGGAGGGCAGGAAGGCTCTGCAGAGGGATCTGGACAGGCTGGAGCATGGGCTGAGCCCAGTGGTGTGGGGTTCAACAAGGCCCAGGGCTGGGTCCTGCCCTTGGGTCACAGCAACCCCAGGCAGTGCCACAGGCTGGGGCAGAGTGGCTGCAAAGCTGCCACAGGAAAAGGCCCTGGGGGTGCTGGTGACAGCAGCTGAGCATGAGCCAGCAGTGCCCAGGTGGCCAAGAAGGCCAATGGCATCCTGGCCTGTGCCAGCAATGGTGTGGCCAGCAGGAGCAGGGCAGGGATTGACCCCCTGTACTCAGCACTGGTGAGGCCACACCTTGAGTACTGTGTCCAGTTTTGGGCCCTTCACTCCAAGAAAGACATTGAGGTGCTGGAGCATGTCCAGAGCAGGCCAATGGTGCTTGTGAAGGGTCTGGTTCACAAGTCCTGTAATGAGTGACTGAGGGAGCTGGGGTTGTTTCACCTGGAGAAAAGGAGCTTTAGGGTAACATTATCACTCTCTACAACTGCCCGAAAGAGGTTATAACCAGGTGGGTATTTGTCTCTTTTCCCAGGTAACAAGTGATAGGACAAGAGGAAATGGCCTCAAGTTGTTCCAGGGAAAGAACCTCTTCACAAAAAAAGTGGTCAAGATCTGAAACAGGTTCCCCACAGAAGTGATGGAGTCACCATCCTTGGAGGTATTTAAAAGACTTGTGGTGCTTAGGGACATGTTTTTGTGGTGGATTTGGCAATTAATGTCTGGACTTGATGATCTTAAAGGTCTTTTCTAATGAAAGTTTTCTGATTCTATGACACTAGAGGGACGAGGGAAAAAGTAGCAGCCTTATTTAAGATTAACCAAAATTTATAACCAATGTTTTAGATGAACCACAAATTCAGATGAAGTTTCCCGTATGATCAGTGGAACATAAAATTTTGCCAGAAGAAAATTATTAATCTGCCTCATCACATTCTATCATCAGATATGCTCAGAGCATTTTTAGGTGTTAGTTACTCTGCAGTCCCCAGGGTTTTGTTGACATCATTTCTATATTTAGTTTTATAGTGGTGATTTTGCCCACCTGTTTAGAAACAAACAAACAAACAAAAAAACATCTTAGATAAAACCTATTAAACTAAGTGTAATTTGGAGAGTTGTCAAATGTCTTTCCTCCCCCAGATCTGCCAGGCAAATATCTCTGTGATTAAAACAAAGAAAATAAATTAATCTCCGCCTTCTTATTACAATACAAAGTGCGAGCAGCCAGGAAACATGGCGCAAAACCTGATGGTACACAGTGTCCTTAGATCACTTGGCCATTGTTTTCTCTCACAGCAGCACATGTTAATGATACAAAGAAGCTTAACATTTTTTGGCTTTGGCTTTTCATGTCACAACCATAATAAATGTGCATATTATTGTTTGTATTGCTATATCCTTTATATGCACCGCCAATTTCTAGAGCCGTTCATGCACAGCCAAGGACAGAATTTTGCCCACAAACAGACTGACTGAATAAAGTTAGGCAGAAGCATTGCCATACTGGTTTCATCTGTGAAGTAGTGGGTCACAGTACAGGATGTTTAAGTTGTAAAAATGTTGTGTGGGTCAAATCTGCTGCAGGAAGACCAAAGCTTTTTTGCTTTTCACTTACCAATTTAATTCTGCTTTAAAAGGCCTTTGTCCTATATGGACCTAAGAAATCCTTAGTTTTATTTATTTAAAAAAACCCAACAATCTTCAAAACAATAAAATGGTCAATAGATTGTTAAATCCAGAAGAACATGAAGAAATAAACACATTTGGGGTTTCTTTTGCTTATTTTAAGGAATTTGGCCCACAGAGAAGAAAATTGAATATGATGAAGAACGAAGAAACAAGTTTTAATGTGGACAATACCCGAGCCTCTCCCTTCTCCCTCTGCCTGCAGCCGCTCAGCCCCGTTACAAAGCCACACAGAGCAACACAATTTGATGAAGAATTCAGAACACACCTCTCACATTTCCGCTATGGTCCTCCTCCTCTTGAAAACATGGAAACATTCCAGGGGTCCTTGGAAGGAGGGTCTCGCAAACGTAAGAGCATGCCAACAAAAATGCCTCCTCCCATCACCCTTGAGGATTCCTCATCATCACCAGATCGACCTGAGGATCACGACATGGGCTCTTCTAGTCTCCCCTTGGTGTTCCAACAGCCAACTCAGCCCAAGTACAGTTCCCAGATGATTGACCTCTGCAACTTTGGTTTTCAGTTCTACAGAACTCTGGAGCATTTTGGAGCCAAGCCCATTAAGCAAGAACCAGTGAAGCCTAGCATGGCATGGCCCAGTAACCCAGCATTCATGCAGGCTCCTTACCCTTATTATCCTAAAGTCCATCCTGGCTTAATGTTTCCTTTCATTGTACCACCAAACTTTCATTTCAGGAACCCTTTTCAAATGAAAAGACCTACAGAACCACCCTTCAGGAGGGCTGAAGTAAGAGAAAGTGGTGAAAACAAACAGAAAGTGGAAAGAGTAGATGTCAACCTTCAGATAGATGACAGCTACTATGTTGATGTGGGGGGTGAGCAGAAACGCTGGCAATGTCCCATGTGTGAGAAGTCCTATACATCCAAGTACAATTTGGTCACCCATATCTTGGGTCACAGCGGCATTAAACCACATGCTTGCACCCGATGTGGCAAGCTTTTCAAGCAGCTGAGCCACTTGCACACGCATATGTTGACACACCAGGGCACTCGGCCCCATAAGTGCCAGGTGTGCCACAAGGCTTTCACTCAAACCAGTCACCTTAAGAGACACATGATGCAACACAGTGATATCAAACCTTACAACTGCAGGATCTGTGGCAGGGGTTTTGCCTACCCCAGTGAGCTGAAAGCACATGAGTCTAAGCATGAGAGTGGACGAGAGAACATTTGTGTGGAGTGTGGTCTGGACTTTCCAACTCTGGCCCAGCTGAAGAGACACCTAACCACCCACCGTGGCCCTATACAGTACAATTGCACCGAGTGTGATAAGACCTTCCAGTACCCAAGTCAGCTGCAAAACCACATGATGAAGCACAAAGACATCCGCCCATACATCTGCACTGAATGCGGCATGGAGTTTGTGCAGCCCCACCACCTGAAGCAACACTCCCTGACTCACAAGGTAAGCCAGCTCTCACCTTGCATCTGGAGGTAGTATAAGGATTACAGGCAATGAAAGCTACACAAGGGCAGGTACCTCCTCAGAAACGTGGGCCCTTGCCAGCTGCAGAGGCTTACACAGAAACTCCAGCATTGCTGGCAGTTTTATCAGCCAGATGTCTTTGCCAGCCTTAAAAAAGTACACACAAACGCAACTTTGTTATAAGCAGGAATTCAATTAAACCCCCTGTATCACTTCTCCAAACCGGATTCATCTCTCTCTGTTTCTTGAGGCTTTTTTCAGAATGACCTTCTGTAAAATTTTGCAAAGCTGTATAACCACCCCATAATCCCAAAATTTTAAAAGATATTTTTTTAAGTGAAAGCCAGTTGTGATACTTTATTCCTTTAATTAGGAAGTACGTGGGTTTGTAGTGGACTGTAGCAAAAAAAAAAAAAAAAAAAAAAAAGTATGTTATTACTCATCAGATTTTGAAGAATCATTGTAATGAGATGACATTTAAAAAACAAAATAACCCTAAGAAAAATTCTCCTTTGTGCATACGTTATCCAGAATGCCAGTTAATATAAATGGACAAGCAGGATCATAATAACAGCCAATTAATATCAAGTAGCAGTTTTGCCTCTGCTGACAGTGGTGACAGCAGGGCCAGCTTAGGGTACGAGAAAGCTTTGGAACTCTTCCGAAAAGATTGCTTCCAAAAATAGGAAAAATGCAATTTTTCCATTCAAGAAACTCTGAAATTGACAATCCACTTTTACAAAAATAATAAGAGAAGTCAAATCCTTTCACTTTAAAAAAAGGTTGCTTCCAGATTACCATATTTTTCCTTTAACATTTGAATTTTGGCTTTTACATAAAAAACATTAGAAATACAGAAAGCTATGGCCCTTGAGTCTTATAGTCACATATTCTTTGAAAATTGCACAACTTCTACTTCCACATTTGCTTTTTCTTTTCTGCTTCATGCTTATAATTTCTGGAGATTCCCTGCTCTTCAGATTTACCATGCAAGATTCCACTAATTGAAGACTTGGTATGTTTTTTTGTCACAGGGAATGAAATGTCCCTGAGTCCTTAGAGAGCTTTTGCTTCTTTGTCCACAGCCACAGGTGGATTCACCATGAAAATAATAGTACTTAGCTGACTAAACGCAGCTTCATATCAAATGAGCAGACACTTGAAACTGGTAGTGATGTCCAGTTTTAGCTTTTTAATTAACTGTGAAAACCACTGACAGTCATTTCACATCTTTTTAAAGAAGGGCTGTGGAAGGAGTAATTGCTCTCAGCACCTCACTAGTAAATCTTTATTACCTTCAGCACATAAAACTCTTCAGCTGTATAGTAGCAAATCCTTTGATTTTCATAGTATCTAAATCACTGAGAAGCTGACAGACCACATGGGTGTGAGTAAGAATATTGAATTATGTAGTCATAAATTGAGTAGATAGCATAAAAAGTGATAGAAATGTTCTATAAACCTCATATAAAATGAAATCATTCCATAGTGGTTACTGAAAATCCCACCAGGAATAAGCAGATATTTCTCTCTGCAATAAATGTGAGGTGTGTAATCAATACTTTACTTAAGCAGCAGAGCAGGAGAGGGAAGCTCTGACGCTGACTATGTTAGATTTATTTGAAAACAGACTTCATGACTTCATTAAGTTTGTGTTTTGTTTTACTTCTCTGCGTCTCAGAAGCTTGTAAGAATTTGTCAGGAGAAAATAACTTGAAAAATGTTAAAAGTGAAATAATTTATTATCAACTTTGCTAATGCAGAATGAATAATTCATAAATTGCTGTACTGACGATTAAATTACCTAGAAAATTTTACATCTACAGAATTATTTTTTTTTTCAGGGTGTGAAAGAGCACAAATGTGGAATTTGTGGCCGGGAATTTACTCTGCTGGCCAACATGAAGCGACATGTCCTGATCCACACCAATATCAGAGCCTATCAATGCCATTTGTGCTTCAAGAGCTTTGTGCAAAAGCAGACTCTCAAGGCCCACATGATTGTTCACTCTGATGTCAAACCCTTTAAATGCAAGGTAAGTACATTTGGTGGTAGAGGTATTATCCTAAAGCATATTTCTCTGATATTGTCATCTTATCATATGGTAGAATTAGAAAAACAAACCTGCTAACACATACTGCACTTGTATTCAAAAATTAACATAAACCAGCCTGATTTTCTTTCTTTACCCAGGTTCTGCTTATGTTGCACAACATAATGGAGATAAATACCTGTGGTTTACTCCCTTTCCCATCAGGATCATTCCTTCTCACATAAGTTTTGGGGTTTTTTCCCTGTGATTGTTTAAGTGCCACAGACATTTGAGGACAAAAACATATCTGACATTTGCTTAGTACAATCATCCAAACAGAAATTTAAGTGCTTAATAGCTTGAAACACTGACAAAAAGCAGGAATCAAATCATGCACCCTGCAGAGGATCATGAAAAAGCAGCAGCCAGAATTTCACACAGTGATGCTATGCAACAGTTCAAGAAAGGGGTTAGAAAAAGCCACAGCAAAATAAAACTACAGAAGGGATTTGAATGGGTAGAGTGTAATTACCAGACTGGAATTCAAAGCAGGATATTAGTATGCTAACAAAACAGCCTCTGAGACCACCTGGCCTTTCTTTCTACAGTCCTTCAAATTCCAGTTTGCCGCTGCCCCCCAGCACTGGAGGCTGGCATTCCATTTCCATCCTCTCTTCTCCCTCCCCCTAAACCCTAAAGACTTTATTGATCCTGTTTACTTCTAGTACATTTCTTATGAATTATTCATATCTATATTCTTGTTCAGTACTGGATGCTACATAAGTTCTTTTGCTGCCTCCAGTGTTCCAATGCTTATCTGGTTCATTACTGTTGTTGTACTTTGTGAAGTCAAAGGCTGAAGATTTCCCACTTTAATTTGTTCTAAGATGGCTGTAAATACAGAGTGGAGCATATTACCGAGGTTATGCATAAGAAACTAAAGACTGATTGAAAGCAATTTCTAGAACTCTTTCATTTTACATCTCTATGGTATTGATATTTTCTTAAAAGGAATTTCTCATGAAGAAGCAGAGATGGATGAAAAATTTAAATGGAATTATTTCATTTTTTCATCATATTTCATTCATATGATCCTTATTTCATCTTGAAAAAATGTAGAATTTCAAAATGTCATAGGAATATATGATGGTCAGTGCTGGTTTTAGTAAGAAAATGTCGGAATGAATATTTCTGACTTCGTAATTTTTCTTTCTTAACGTCAAAACATTTTACTTTGAAAAACTAGCAGCAAAGTCTTTCACCTTCAGTACTTTGTTCTAATTTATGTCTTATGAAAGTAGTATGTTGTGTAGTAGTGCTTACATTACTCTATATTGATAAAAGAATTTCTTTTACTGAAATTCTATGGGTGTAACAAGTCAGGTCTGCTGGAGGTTTTAATTCTTTGAGAACATCTGCAAACATGCCTTGTCGTTCCCATTTGGTTGAAGTTGTTCTCTGACTCCTCAAACTTCAGAAAAGAATCTCAAATTTTGGATCAGATTTTGTGGGTGCAGTATATGGATCCACATGATTTTTTGGGTACGTGCAGATTAGCTGGAAGGTTGTGTTCAGCTCAGTGTTTGATGATGACAGACTATTGAAACTTGGAGAGGGCAATAGTTGGAACTGGGAAATAGAGTATCACCAGTATGTTTTCCAGACAGTAACAAAAGCTCTACAGGAACACCTGTTTTTCTTATTTTTTTACTTTTCTGTCCCACCCAGTGTTCCAATGAGGAAAGAAACAAGTAAGGATAGTGAATCTGTTTCTCATATGTCTGAAGGGGTATGAATCAGCATCAGTGCCTCTGACAGTGAAGATTGCAACAATAAGCAGACACAGAATCAGGAATTGCTTTTTTGCATTAGGAACAGCCTAACATTACCTCTCTGACAGAGCCCCTGAAGACTCTTGAAGGCAAATATTTCTGGCTGGTACTTGGAGGGTTAAGGCAATGACCAGATAGCAGCCTTTTGGCACCAAGCTCCTCCTCAGCAGAAGGAAGGATATAGCTGTATGAACAGCCTGCTTAACAATGGCTCACATGTCCCCGGGGAACCGCCTGCAAATAGATTTCATCTTGCTTTCTCTTGTACTTTTCAAAGCTTCCTGTTTTCTCACGGTCCTTTTGGACAGTTTACAGTCATTCTCCCTCTCCTTCTTTCTTTGAGGAAAGGAACACCCTTCTTATAAATAAAAAAAAAGAAGAAGAAGAAGAATGCAAGGGAAAGAGAGCACAGCAGTAGCCTTTATACTTCACCACATGCAATGATTTTCTTTACCTTTTTCTCACAGCAAAAGAAAACATGAGCTTTCCTATGTGTCTAATCACAGCTAAGCACATACTATCAGAAGTGAGGGAGTAGCAAATAGTTGTCCCTTCTGTTTCCTCATCCAGCTGCAGCCTGGATCTCTGTTTGATTTTCTGCTGAAGAGTGAACTTGTCTGTAGTATTTAAAGGCCTGAGCCCATGTTGCCTTGTTTATTTCTGTTTAAGAGGAAAAAAAAACCCACTGAAGACTTATGAAGGTATTCCAACAACTGGTGCAACAGTACTAATTTGGATTTGTATAGAAAGGTTCCATGAAATTTACTGTTGCTTTTAGTGCTGAAGTAATCAATTTTTCAGACTTCCAATAAAGGATGCAATGGATCTTTCTTCAGCTCAGACAAATATCTGTAACAGATGTTTTGAACACCACTTTTTTCCCTATCTAAAAATGTGGTTTTTAATCAGAGAGAGAGAAGTACTTTGAGAAGGAGCAAAACTGGTGGCAAATCTAGAAGGATGAAACTTCACGTGCTGGCTTAAGAGGAAAAACATCTAGGCTGGAACTAATGTAGACTATTCTAGCAAACTATACTGAAGTCCATTTCACCAGCAACTAAGTCTGTTCAGCAGACTTGCAACTGAGTTGTTCTCTTCAAGATTTTAATTTTATTTTGTTCTAAACATTTTGTCGAAGATTATTTTGTTAGACAGCCTAACAGAAAGTCCACAAGTAAACCATGTTGTTCCTGATATCCCAAGTTCTCTTGCATAAACTTTTCACCTCCCTGAGTGCTATAGTGCATTGGGTTCTGCTGGAGCTCCTCCCATGCAGCTGTCTCAGGATCATCTTTCACACTCTGCTCACAAGGCTGTCATGTCAGAGAGAAAAAAAATCTTGTACAGGCTTCTAATTTGATCTGCAGATTCAAGCCCTTCATTGAGCATTAGCTATGTACTCCAGCTAGATTTGAATTGCAGTCTCCTAGCATACAAGTGAGAAACCTATTTCCTTTTACATCTGGATCATAGATATTCTTCTGAAAGATGTCTCGTGCCTTTTTGAAATGACCAGTAAAACAAAGATTATGCCACAGAGACCCATCATTCCAAAAACCAACTTTCCTATCTGCATTTCTTTAATTTTCCTGCCACACCTCTGCACTCTAGTACCATTTCCTTATGTTCCCAGAGGAGAATTCAGGACAAGAACACATTACATATTTTGAAGATGTGCCTGACTCTGGGAAATGGAAAACCCATCAACTTTATTCAGACACAGAACTTTTATGCCATAAAGAAATAACCTTTACCAAGTCCCTGTCTTTTCAGTAAGAGGAAAGAGAAACAAATATTGCCTTGACAGAAAGCAAATAAATGGTCCTTCTAAATAAATTTTAATACTCAAGACCTTATAAAGATAAGTGTTTGCATGCAGTACTGAAGCCACTCATCCACTCAACATGATTTTCCTTGGTTACCAGTTCAGACAGAGAAGATGTAGATACAAGAAAGCAGGTTCTGGTGAAAATGTATGTCAGCCACAATACAAGCAGATAACCAGAAGCCTTCAGCAAAGAGGTGTAAGAGAGATATTATTGTTGACATTCTTGCAACAAGAGTAATATTGACAAGTTATAGGTTGTTCCAGCAGCTGTCAAGATACAATCAGCTGCTGGTTACTCCTTGCTAATTTTCTGTGCTCATTAGTAGTCTCAGTAGATGAGAGTCTGATTCCTCCCAGCACTTTTTGAGGTATTTTGTGGTTCTATAATTTCTCTGAGTGTACATAATCCTACATATTAACTTTCTTTGAACATGAAGAAGACAGTATTCTTTCCTCAGTGGTTGGATGACCCTTGGAAGCAGCCATCTTACTTTTAAAAATGAATTACTCACTTTCAGTGGCTATTCCTTTTTTCCACCAATGGTCATGTCTAACACTTTGTGATAAATTTATTTGCTAGAGTTTTCATTTTAGTAAAATCACAGACAGAAAAACACAAATGGTACATATGCAGCTGAAGCGAATAACTTTTTGAAAAACAAGTGAATGTTTTCAGAATCTGTCTTTTTACAGCTCTGACTCAGCTCTAGTTTTTATTTTGAAACAGTAGACCTGCTAATTTTTGTATTTATGAACAGATTCAATTTTCCCCAAGAGAAGTCTTAAAAGACAAAGCATACAGTACTGCTTTTCCAAGGATCCTTTCGCTATTTACATTTCATCCAGATATTCTAAGTGATGACTTTCTGAATTTACATCTACAAGTTCTGTATCAGTTCTTCTGCAATACCAAATAAGTAAAAATTGAATCCAGATTATGTAAAAAATCTGGTGGAGTCTTAGTAATTTCTATTTATTAATTGTCTGCCAGATGGTTACCCTGCTAGATGAAGGTTTCAGTTACTCAGTAATGGTGACTCTGGTTAATATAGTAATAAGAATAATTAAAAAAAATTAAAATGCAATGATAAAACAAGTCAGGAAAAAAAAAAGTAGGAAGCAAGCACAGAAGTTTGCAGAGTATGGAAATAGCCACTTGAATGTGAATAAAATTATAAATCCTGGTAAGGAAAGACCAGAAGATAAGTAAGACTGGGTGGCTGTAATAGTGATGTCAAACTCTCATGTCTTAAGAGTACATAAGAGTCCAGACTACAAAAGGACCCATCTAAATAAACAACAATGAATTAAACCCACTGGTATTGTTCCATCAAAGGAAAAATTTCACGATCAATGGCTTAAGCTGGCAGGAACATGCTTCAGGGAAAGCTGAGTCATTCTTGCAGCCTCACGACTGTTTAAATTGCAGCTTACTCACCAGAGACACCAAAACACAGGAGTTGATAAACAAATGATGAAAGAATCAGGGGAAATAAAGAGTGAGGAAGAAACACAGAAAAACAAGGAATTGCTTTTTCTAGCTTTAAGCAAAATGTGCAGCCATTTAGTTTCCATTTAAAAATAAGTAATATTCTGTTACTTTGACTGTTTCACAGAAACCCTTAATTGGTTTTATTTTATAATTCCATTCCTGCCTGACATTGTAGTTGATTAAAGGCTAGATGTATAAACTACAAATGGAATGGTTCACCAGGGCAGAAACTTCTACTTTGAATCTCATTCAAGTTATGAGCCTTCCAGATTACTCCCTAAAGTCTTTCCCCTCCTTACAACAACATTGACTGCTTTTGGGGAATCCTGCACTATGTGTGCTGGTCACCAATATAAAAAAATATCAGCAGTTCAGAGTGCCTTAGATACCACATGTTTTTGCCTGTAGGATTTTGATGGAACTTTGAAAAACTTATTGCAGCCAAAAACTGTCAGAATTTAAGTTGAGAAGTGTAGGTCCTCTTTCCTTTAAAAATGTTGTCCTTGAAAATACTGCTTCAAACTAATAATTTTCATTTTTACCATTTTTACAGCTGTGTGGAAAGGAGTTTAACAGAATGCACAATTTAATGGGACACATGCACTTGCACTCAGATAGTAAGCCATTTAAGTGCCTCTACTGTCCCAGCAAATTCACCTTGAAGGGGAACCTAACCAGGCACATGAAAGTCAAACATGGAGTCATGGAAAGGGGATTTCACTCTCAAGGTAATAATTTTCAGCAAGATTATTGTCTGTGAGATCTGAATATGCATATCAGTAAACACAAATGGGCTTTGTACGACAGATCCACAAACTTGTGCCATAGATCCAATGTTATTGCAAGAGGTAGAATCCCATAAGCCTGTGAAGTTGTTATTAGCTATATTACTATAGCATTACATGGCAGCATTACATGTCCCAAATAAATCATAAATTAATCCTAATTTGACAGAAAAAGAAAATCTGAAACACTTATGGTCCTTTCTGACAGCTTAGTGGATTCCAGTCTGGAGCAGGAATGGAATCTTCAATGGCTCTACATCCAGGAGCCTTGGTCATTCTGTACTGTATTGGCATAGCTGGTGCCACATGAATACCATAGGCTCAAGATCCCATTTACAAGGAAGCACATGAATAGGAGGGGATATTCCTCAAAGTATAAGTCTCACAGTATAAGGATTTTTGACTACTGAGGGCATCCTGTGAAACATTTCCTGTCTGCCACTTACCACATACACTTCCTGAAGTCATCCTCATGTGTGTAAACAGATCAATGCTATCTAAAGAAGTGGGGGAATTAGGGAGAATTTTTTGAGGGCTTGGGTCTCCAAGATCCCTTTTTTAAGTATATGAATAATTCTTTAGTGGGCAAGATTTCTTGGCATTTCTCATATATTCAAACTTTAGGGCGGCTTAGCACATGTGCAAAACACTTGCTCTAATGACATTTGGTGTAAATTTTTTGAAGATCCTAATGGCTAATGAAATAAGTATTTTTTTCTGTAAATCTCCTACAGCATCATGCTAGTTAGAGAATTGCTTGTAATTGGAGATTGCCTAAGATCTTTTCATTGTACAGAGATTCTGTGGACCTTGAGGCTTATCAATTATGAGAAAATTTGTGAGGTGATGCCTTTTTATGAATCCTTTTAACAAATACACCTTGTTGCAAAATAAAATCTGCTGTTTAGTGATACTGCATAGATCCTTCATAAACTTGATTCAATTACTGAGGGGAAAGTAAAAACAAAGGAAACAAAAGCAGTTAAAATTGTGACTTTCATAGGTATTGGGTGAAGTCCTCACTTTGTCACTAGTCTAATGAAGCTGGCCTATGCCTATAGTATCTGATTTTTTAAAATATATCCTGATGATGTTTGGAGCATTTTTGAGTCCACAGATGCCTCTTGGATAATCTGTATTTTCAGCAAGAGGGAAGACACTGACAAATACTAAGCCAAACCAGATCCAGGATTAGATGCATATTCATATACACTGCTCGAAATCATTTGTTTATAATGATTCCCTCAAGCTGAAGCACTGTCTAGTGCATAGAGCTTTTCACCTGATTGTTTCTCAGTGGATGAAAGGGGAAAAATTAAGGACAGTAATAGGCTGCTGAGACTGTTGTCTTTTCATTTGTAAAGTATTAACTTTGAACCACAGTGTCCATAGAACAAATACATTACCATGTTTTTAGTCTCTTCCACTCCTCTGAAGCATAAGATACAAAACCTGGGACTTGGATTATGGACTGTGGTGCTTTAGATTCAAGTTTTATTTTAGAAAATAATAGGAAGGAGGAAATGAGTACGTTGAGACAAAATTCAGTTTACAAAAGGCCAGACCATTTCACTTTTCTTCCCAGCTGCATCATCCAGAGTCTGGCTGTTAAAAGAATGTTTTGTGTGTCCTAACCTGGCTGTGAAGCGTAAACAATAGCACTCGTTTTTGTAGCATCTCAAAGGAGATGCCATAAGATGTAAATAGTGAAGTACTTGGAGATAGCTGGATGGATGACAAAGTTAAAAAATTAAATACAAAGACACCTCAGATTTTGTTTTTTAGCCATGTATCAAGCAGTAAAATTTCCTATAGATAATTTTTTCCTTTTCTCCTCCCCTCAAACCACTACAAGGTTTTGGAAGAGGAAGGATTGCTCTGTCCCAGACAAATGTCTTGAGAAGCTTGGAACAGGAAGAGCCATTTGATCTGTCCCAGAAAAGCCAAGGGAAGGGTATCTCATTTCATTCTGATGGTGAGAGTGCCAAGGGAAGCTCATGCCAGGAAGAAGAGGAAGACAACTGCTATGAGGTGGAACGATACAGCCCTGCCACGTACCATCATGATGACAACAAGCTGTACATGGCTCAAGATCTCTCTGGCAAACCTGAGTGCATGATGAAGGACTTCAGAGAGTCCTACTGCAATGAGAAGGAAGAGGTGTTAAGTGAGGGAGGACTGGGGAAGAGAATAGGAAATTCGGGCAAAGAGGAGAGATGTGGAGAGGGAGAGCTTGCAAACAGCAAAGAACATCTCAGCTTTAGATCCTTTGAAAAGGCCAGACTTGGTCACTCTCTCTCTGATTACTTGTATTTCAAGCACAAGAACAAGAGTTTGAAAGAATTGCTGGAAAGAAAAATGGAAAAACAAACAATGCTTCTAGGCATTTAAAATGGACATTTTTAAAACAGCTGGAAAATGGTAACCAGGTAGATTTTAACATGAATTGTAAGCTACTAAAGCCTGGAAGTCTGTAGTAGTATTTAGAAATAAATAAGCCAAATTATTAAAAATAATTTAGGGTAAACCACATACATTAAAAGAATAAAACAGCTTGAGGTCACCAAGAAATGCAATAGATATTGAAAAATAACACTTTAATATTTATCCGTTTAATGTATAACAGACAATGGGTTGGGTACAGAAGTTTACTTCCTATTATATGGGGATAGATACTTACATGCAATTTTCTACTTAGCAGAAAGCAACATATTTTAGCATCTGATTTCTTGTCTGACTAAATATATATGAAAACTTCTAACCATATGCCTCAAAAATATCTGAAAATACAAAGTATTTCACATTATAAGTCAGAGTACTATTAAACATGGCATGCATGAAAGTGCTGTCGACATTCAGAACTAACACAGTCCAAATATTTGATTTACTGAAGTGACTCTTAGTGCAACTACTTACAATGAGAAATGTGAAACAAAATAATAAGAAGAACTAATGTCTAGGGAGGCAGTAAAGGACAGTTCTCTAAGGCTTTAAAAGGAATTTATTACAAAAGCTAGTTCTCTGGCACCAGGAATATTTGTGCTTTGCTGTGTTTCAGCCAGTATGGGAGTGTTCAGAAATTCTTGAAGTAAAATAGCATAGATTGTGTTGACATTTTGTTCTACTGCCTGCTTGGACCAACACATGTACTGGGCGGCATCAGCATGCCGTATTCACAGTCTTGCCATAGTTACACATAACACAGTATGAGTAATTCAAAATGAAAAAATTATGCAGCTTTACCATTTATCTCTTCAGTTTATCATTGCTTGTAAGGATAATTTTGGAATACACAGATCTGGTCATTTTTTGTTTCAGGGGGTAAAAACCACCCTTACAGAGCAAGCAGTACCTCACAGAGGAAAACTTTCCTCTTATTAAGGTCAGAAAACTTCTCTTATTAAACACTTCTTGAGCAGTAAGTGGCAGGCCTTTCAGACAAATTTCACTCATGCTGTTTTCATGGAGTCAAACTCAGCTTTTCATCCTCTGATTCCCCTACAGTTATAAGCTTATAACCAACATGGGAAAAGCATATTCATTAAACTTTTCATTAATGACATGACTACTTTGAACAGCATATTAGTTCCTACATCTTCAAGAAAGATGAGAAGCAGCCCTGAATCGTCATATTGCTTCCATGGAAATAAAAATTCAATTAATCGTAAAATTTGTCCTATGTCCTTTGGACATCCCAGCTCAAAAGGTTAAAATCCATATATATGGTACATCTCTTCCAAATATTACTGCCTTCTTCACTTACCTGCTGAGTTCTTGATTTGAAATACATTGCCATCATGCTCTCTATATAGCAAGTTATAATTAAATATAGTCATCTACTTTTATGGCTTGCTAAGACCAGTCATGTAGCTGCAGCTCTCTGCCCCTATAAGAAAACACACACCTCTCAAATTAATGATCCTCATGCCTACCAGTTAAGCAGCATTCACAGGGCAAGGTCCTTATTTTTCATATAACTGGGTTTGTGTAGTCCAAGGCTACAGGCAGTGTTTTCCTTTTTCAAGGCTCTAACATGTCATAACATATGCAGAAATTCATGCAGAAAAAGCTATTGATAAAAGAAAGAGTAATATCCAGGTGACTTTCCTAAATTAAATCTATGTCTGATGTGCATATTTTTAAAAATAAAAATGTTATGCCAAATTGAACTGGAAGGTAGGTCACTTTGGAATTCAAAAAGACTTTGAGGTGTATTTTAGAGGTCCGTGGTCATGTTTCTTCAGGGATTAACTGTTCTGCCATAAACATTCCTCTTCCTTGCTTTAGCTGTAAGACAATGCCTATTGAAAAAGGAGCCATCTTTCTTTCAAGGAAGACATTGTGGTCAAGCAAAAAAGTTAGGAAATTTTTAGAATAATGAGTGAAACTGTACTATTTCTTAGACGTTAGGGGAAATGATCGGGTAGAAATTCAGCATGGTCTAGTAGATAGTCCCTCAGAAATGGGAGCAACTCCTTCAGTTAACTTATTGGCACTAGCTTGTCTCTACCAGACAAAAGTTCCATGTGAGCATGTATACAGCCAAGAGCTGGGAGTAGCTAACTCTTAGAATTTTCTCCCTCTTGGTAGTGTAGTTTCCAGCTGTGCATGGTTCAGTATCAGTTAGCTCCACATTTCCAGATTTATTCATTTACATGATAAGAAGAGCAAGCAAGGAATCGGGAATCTCTTTGCAATTTCTAGAAAGGTGATCATGCAGGTGGGTGGAATTTAGCAAGTCCTTCAGTCCTGTGGTGTGTAAAGCAGGAAAGTACACTGCCCTTCCATTGCCAACTCTTGCCTATTTATTGGAGAGTGCTATGGGACAGCTAGACAATTCTTATCAAGAAAGAAACAAAGTATTATATACCAATTGCAGTCCAGACAAATGGAGCAAAAGAGACATTTTCAGCAGAGTTCAGCTCCCAGCCACTAATATCATAGGATGCATTCTATTTGGGCTTCAGCAAAGGCTTTGATACATTATCCATGGCATTCTCCTGGAAAAGCTGACAGCTTGTGGGTGGATGAAGTCTTTGCTTGGGTTAAAACATGGCTGTATGGCCAGGCCCAGAGAGTGGTGATTAATGGAGTTAACTGCAGTTGGCAGATAGTCACCAGTGGTGTTGCCCAGGGGTCAGCACTGGGCCCAGCCCTGTTTAATATCTTTATTAGCCATCTGGATGAGGGGATGGAGAGCCCCCTCAGTCACTTAACAGATGACACCAAACTGGGTGGGAGTGCTGATCTGCTGGAGGGCAGGAAGGCTCTGCAGAGGGATCTGGACAGGCTGGATCATGGGCTGAGCCCAGTGGTGTGAGGCTCAACAAGGCCCAGGGCTGGGTCCTGCCCTTGGGTCACAGCAACCCCAGGCAGTGCCACAGGCTGGGGCAGAGTGGCTGCAAAGCTGCCACAGGAAAAGGCCCTGGGGGTGCTGGTGACAGCAGCTGAGCATGAGCCAGCAGTGCCCAGGTGGCCAAGAAGGGCAATGGCATCCTGGCCTGTGCCAGCAATGGTGTGGCCAGCAGGAGCAGGGCAGGGATTGACCCCCTGTACTCAGCACTGGTGAGGCCACACCTCAAATCCTGTGTCCAATTTTGGCCTTTCACTCCAAGAAAGACATTGAGGTGCTGGAGCATGTCCAGAGAAGGACTGCAAGTCAGATATCCCTGCAGGTGTTCCAGAAATTATCAGATGTAGGACTTAGTCTAGTCGACCAGGTGGTGATTGCTTAAACATTGGAGTTCATGATATTAAGAGGTCTTTTCTTACCTAGATGCTTCTGTGATTGTGTGATTCTGCAACTGCAAAAACTATGTTTATTGGAAGCATGCAGTCCAGAGTTTCCTTACTGACCTTGTAAGAGAATGTGCCAGATGTGTCCTTAGGAAAGAAATCACTGCAGACAGTTCTGGGTTGTCTAAATGGTTACTCCAAACTTCTTCAACCACACTCTCCGCTTCAATTTACCCACTTCTATAGGTGCAGTTATCACTGGAGCCGAAGTACTGGACAACTACATACAGCTGGGAAATAGTCCCAGAATGGCAATACTATTTGCAAGTAATTCATAATGCGAACTCTTTTTAATCGCATTTTACTAGAAAGCAGAGTATTTCTTCACAATGGGACTTTGAGATTCTGCCCAGAAACAAAGTCATACTAAGATAATTCTCAAACAAGCAAGTCTAATTAATATCCGAATAGTAAAAACCTAATTTAAAACTGTAAATTATGAATAAGAGAAATTACAAACAAAATTATTACTGAAGTAAGAAGACTGTGCCAAGTGACCCAAGCAAAGTGGTTAGAAGATGACAGTCCTCCCTACTGTAGAACATAATGTAGATGGGTCTGTGGCACTTGTTACAAAGAGGCCTCAAGGGACAAATTAAAAGTGAAATAACAGCCTTCATTGTGAAGCACCTTGCTTTTCAAACATAAGTTATTTTCACACTATTTACATTGGCACCGCTTTGGGAACAGACAGTAACAGCCTTTGCTTTTTAATAGCTTTGAAAATGCTTTATAGAAATTTGCTCTCATAATGAAGCTATTTCCCATTTATAATTTTCAAGGGATTAGCTTCCTTATTTTGCCTTTTGTAGAGGCTCAGAAGTCCAGTAGAGACATTGCCTGTGTCCTGGACATTGGGGGATATATTTTCTTCTTTTTCTCATTCCTAATGTGAGTTTATCTCTTGTCTTCTAGCTCTGTTGTGGGGGAAAAAAAGGCTTTATCTTACTACTGTTCACTGTTATTTGGGTTTTCATTTTATGGGGACATATGAAGCTAAAGCCCAGTCTCCACCACCTCCATTTAAAAGCACATCTATACCATTTGCCTGCATTGTTTATGTAGCCTTTTTTCATGCTTTCCGAGAGCATTACAACAAATAAGAGTGGCTACAAACTTGCACAGCTGAAATGCTTCCAGAAGTCAGGCTGAGGAAAAGATAAATTTGCTCTACCATAAAGAGTCTGGGCAAGTGAAGGCATGTGGTTTGTTTAGTTAGGGGTTTTTCTGATGTTAAGGGTAGCAGGGAGAGTTCTGCAAGACGCTGTGGAGCACAGAGTAGGTGGAGGAAAACCCAAAATCTGAGCTAGTATCGTTTAAGGGTGAAGATAAAGAACATATTTAAAGGAAAAGCAAAGTTGTACGTGACCTCGGAGCAAAGTATTTTCAGTCTGGCCACAAGGACTCAGCCATCTCCTTGTGAAACTGAGTTTTCCTGGCTGCCAGACAGCCTTCATTTTGTGACAGCAAAGACAGGTGCTCTGTGTTCAGAAGCTCAAAGGGTAAAATACATTGTGATTAATGTAATAATTAAAGTTTATTCTGTGCTGTTTCCTGTAAAACAAGTTAGTGGAAAGACCAAGTAATGCTGCTGCACCCACCTTTTTACAACTCTGTGTTTGTCTACTACCTATTCTTTGATTTCTCTCTTCATATGGTGCTGCTCAACTCTGCTGTTTTGAGTGTACAGTTAAGAAGTAATATAAGTACCATATTTATTATTCCTAGAAGTTTTAATAATTATTAACAGTTTTGAAAATGTCATGTCTGCTTAGCTGAACAAGATGTAACAGAGCTAACATTTTGTACTCCTAACAGATTTTGCAAATAATGTGTTGCATATTTATTTCATGTAGAACATTGAGTTCCTGTTTAAGGCCACAGCTTGTGAAGTGAACAAACTATATGTGAATCTTTAGTTTCTGGCTTTCTATCTCAATAGTAAAAGCATGTATGATGTATTGTATTAATTTAAGCAAATAAATATGTACTGGAGAAGCTGCTGTACTTTGTATTGAAATGGATATGGAGTTCTTGGCATTCTAGGTACTTTATATGGCAAATGCATGGGTTTAGTCTGACAAGGTAATTCTTCTCTGAGCACCCCTGAAAAGTGGTTCTTGTTAAGGGAAGGCTAAATCCATGATGGAGGACTAGTTAGAAGACAAGAGCAGAAGAGCTGCCAGGTCCTTTAAGGCAGAGAGATAATTTTTTCATTACAGACTACATGGAGGACATAAAAATGCTCTGTAGTGATTATGGTATTTGTCAACTTGGCTTCAGACAAGCTAAAAGAGAAAGATCTTTTTCTTAGAGATTTTTCGAAGAACCGCATCATGTAAAAAGAGAGGAAAAAACAACCAGATATATTGTAAGATTGAAGTTAAATAATAGAAATACCATTATATTAAGGAATAAGCAGAAGATTGAAATAAGAGATTTAATGTTGCTTTTTCTAAAGGAAAGGGTCACTTTTAAATACTAACTAACCTCTTGAATTTGTTTGTTCACATGAGACCCTGATTGAATTGGCATTATCCAGACTTCACAGAGAGAATTTCAAACTTTTTGAGCATAGGGAAAGGAACAGGAATGTTTGCTATAAGATAAATAATAACAAAGATACTCTGTTTCTAATTCTCAGAGATATATGCCTTAAAAAGTGGAAGAGGGCTTATGTGAACAGTAGAAATACATGCTGGAGGCTAAAATAGAACGCCAGAACAAAGCCTTTGGTTTCCCCCCCATTTTCTTTTGTTTTTCCTGATGCTTTGATGGTAGGTAACAACTACTATTAGGATTATAGACTACCTCTACATCAGGAGGATGAAGATATGTTGGAGAGTGACCTAGTTCATTCCCGTGTGACTCAGTATAAGTGAATCTCAAAGTTTGTCCTTTGAAACTCAGTTAGAAAAATATGATTTGGAAAAAATGTTTGAATTTTTCACAAAGTTCCTCTTCAACTTAGTTCAAAACTGAGCCATGTTCACTTAAGTTTTAAATTACACTTTCAAACCATCAGAAATTAATTAGAAGAGAAAGAGAGCCTCTCAAATGCTCCTGGGGGGCATTTTTGTGAAAATTGTGACGTCTTGAAAGGCCCAGAGTATCTAAAGGTATGGAGATAGCCAAATTATTATACAGCCTCTTACCAAATTTGTCCCATTAATACACTCTTAGGTTCATTTAGTATGATACAGTTTAATGTATTTGCCCACAGATTTTCCTAAAGTAAAAATCTGATCTAAAAAACACATGCAGGATGTCAGTAATTTCAGCATTTGCAAATGATGAAACACACTGCTAATGCTACTTCTATATATGACAATGTGTGATATGATGGGGTATGCTATATGATGAATCATATAGCATGGATTTTCCTAATGATTGCCTGTAATGTAAGTACAGCTGAACAGAGAACAGATACATTATGAAGAAGTCTTCTGGTGTCCTGTCATTTTGATTATGCTCTCTGAAAATAAACTTTACATCTATCCCATTACAGAAATGATTTAATTTGGATGAGGACAGACTTTCCCTTTACTGAATTATTTCCTGTACTGACGTATTTCTTGTAGTGGGAACATTTTA